TCTTATAACATAAAATGTTATGTATATTTATTTCGAACAATTCTTATTTTTCATGACTGAAGTCAACGAGCGATCTTACAATAGAAATCGGGAACGAATCTATTTATGTTCACAAGTATATTCTAAAAATTCGTTCATCATATTTCGAAAATATGTTCCAGTTTAGTTGGCTTGAAAGCAAACGAGGGTAATTATTTATGAAATAACTGCGGCATATTTATTAAAAACTTGATATGTTTGATTCCTTTGTTGCACTTTAACATATGTTTTGGAACAGGGTTATCAAGTATGATGATTATTCGTATATTGTGTATAGAGCCTTTTTGAGATATTTATACACCGGTGTAATCGATCTGTTGTCTTTGGTAAACGAATTGGGTCAGTTTTATTAAATACGTTATCTATTACGATACTATCTTCAATTAATAATTAAAACAAATGTTTCGTCGCAGATCTTCTGAAATTATCTGATAAGTGCTGCATGGAAAGTCTTAAGAGAGATTGCATTCAGAGGATAAAAAAAAAGGTGACGATATTTGATGTATTCTCTATTAAAGAAATGGCAATACAGTATGGCGTGAAGGTAAGTGACGGTATCACTTTTCTCTTTTTTCTATTATTTCTTTTCCAAGATAAAAATATATATTCGATGGTTTTTTTATATGATTGATTTACTGTCCAGTTAGGATTTTATTCTTAGTTATGTATTCTTCTATCACGTTTCTTTTACGTTTTTTTATTCATATTTGTGTTGTAATAAAATGTTCTTTATTGAAAATTCTTTATATCATGTACGAATGAAGTTGCAAGACTGTAAATCGAACACCTAGTCACTGCTACTGTTCTCTTATTAATCTATTTAGCCAGTTTCAATGCTAAAATTTATTAAATATAAAAAATCTTTATTGTTTATAGTCAACTTAATTATTTACATCTTATAATTTTCAGGAATTGGAAGATTACTGTTTCGACTTTATCCTAAGATATAATATGGGAGATTAAAATGATATTTAAAGGGGTATTCTACTTTGTCGCACGTTTTTATAAGAGATATTTAAGAATTTTTTTTCAACAAGTGAATGTGTTTGAAAATAACTTTTTGAGTTTTATTTATTGTATTGGTTTAATAGTTTAAAGATGAAATTTTTATTTTTTTTTTTAATACAAAATATGAATAGTATTTTTCATTTTATAAATCCATTTTCCTTCTGCATCGTTTACAGAGTTCGTCGGCGACTATGATTGTGGGTCTCCCAGTGATTTGAAATAAAAATATAAGACTTCATTTTAATCAAGACTCTTGGGATTATCGTATGAATTAGAATACTTAATTTCGCGCAATAAATAAATGACATTTATTTAAAAAAAAAATTTATCTTATGTTTTTTTTTTAGAAATGTTTTCGAGCTCCAAAAAGTATAAAAAATTAAGTTATCAAAGTAATTCTAATTCTGACGATAAAGGAATGTCTATTTTATAAACCCTTAAAATGTGAAGCTAATCGGTGCTATGGTTTTTCTTTCAATCGTAGTCACTATTTCCGAATAAGTCGTTTCGAGATAATTGCATTGATATTTTTATGCAGATAACGATAGAATTTTGTAACTTACGTTTAGTCGGCAATTCCGGGAAGAAGGTCTATAAAGTGGACCTTCTTGCTCCTCATAAATAGCCTCCTTTACTGCTTTTTCCTCTCGAGCTGTTGATTTTACTTCTTTTTTTTGTTATTTTTTGTTATCTTTTGAAATCTGTCAAAAATAATTGTCTGATTCTCCACGATGATCGTGGTGTCCAAAAAATTTAATTTTCCATTATTGCCAACTTCCATTGTAACTTTAATCTATTATCAAACAAATTAAAAATATTTATTATGTCATTAATACTATTAGAAGGAACAGTTAAAATAATGTCATCTACATATCGGAAATAGTATAATATTTTCACTGTTAATTGTTTAATCGCGATTTCTTGAAAATCTTGCATCACATTATCAGTGATGACAGGAAATAGAGGTGAACCCATCGAAGTGCCATATCTCTATAAGCGCAAAATGTTCCTAGAATGTTATATGGATATTATTAAAAAAGAAATTAAAATAATTTTATTATAATTTCGAGAATATCGTAAATATTTCTTTAATATTACAGGAGTATTCTATAGAGGTTATATGTCCACTTATATAATACGCCAGGCATTATATCTTAATATTCTTGAAATATTATTAAAATACTTATAAATATTAATTATTTTTAATTTTGTGCAATTTGAATTCACAATCCTGTATTGAAAAGTTTTTATCAGTCTATGCTGCACCTTGTGCTAAAAAAACGTTTCGACGTGATTTTAAGTATCCAGTTCTACATCTGCGCGCCAAAATCATTTTCAGTTTTTAAACGTATACTTGTACTGAACAGATGTAACAGTTTTACAAATTAAAGTAAATACTGTTATAATACTTTTTAATGTTTATATGATATTGTAACAATAAATAAATGTTACTTTTAATAATCGTATAATATTATCAGGAGTAGACATATAACCTTCCATTAATATTTCGAGAATATCATGTAATGTTATTTAATTTTAGTAAAATATTATTAAACTATTACATTTAATATTCTAATAATATGCCTAAAATATTACTTCATATTAAATAATGTTATGCGCTTATAAGGATATTTGTTGATATAGTTTCTTTTGTTTATGTAGTTAAAATTAAAAAAGGTAAAATTAAGAACCAAATCGCAATCGAAAATTCATTTAGTGGAATTTTATAATTCTTAGATCGATATATGAACCCATCTTTTTTCTATACCTAGTTTTTTTTAGCAATTAAGTGTATAATAATGATGTTTGACTTTTAATTACATTTTGTTTTGTTATTTATTTTTGTTATGGTTATTTATTTTCACGATATAACGTGCAATGCGGAGTATCTTTTTGTATATATGTCGAATTTTTTAAATATGTATTTATTATTGTTAATACGTATACATATGTAATATATGTTATGTACGTATATATTATTGTTAATTGTTATTTATTATTGTTAATCTGTACATGTAACGTTATATATATATATAATAATTATATATAATATATAGCAATATATATATAATATAATATTATGTATGTATATAATAATCTTCTTTTTCTTCTTCCGTTAGGCATCTAGCCTGTGTTACACCTCTCTCATATACTTGTGATGTACGTACACTGATTATATTCAATTACCACAAGCATATGGGACCTACAGTTTTAATGTCGGTTCCGAACGGTGGATTTTTCGAGAGGTGTTTCTGTTGGCAAGAATACTCTCGGAAGGTTGCCGGCCTTTTCCGAGAGGAGACACGAGCGTACATATTTTGTTTCCTATAATTGGGATCGAACTCAGGACCTTTGGCATGGTAGACCAGTGCGCTGTCTACCATGCCACACTCGCGCTCAGATGTGTAATAGTAAATATATAATTTTATATGCTAGTAATATATAATGGCAATACATAAAATATTATATATAATAGTTTGATGACGCAATAAAATGATGATATTTTTCTGCTGTTTTAGTAGTAGTGTCCCAAACCGATTCTGTGGTGGTCTTTGCCATCATTAAATGATTTGTTTTAGGCTCGTAGCCCTTCTTTGTTATATTATTTAATTTATTGAGTCTTTTTACTTAATTTTAACATAATTAAATAATTAAGTTAACTAAACAGGATAAAGGTATATTCTTTTATGTTTAATAAATTTTAACATTTAAAATGAAAGTACATCAATAGCCGCTCTACTCTGTAGATGCAGATGCGGTACCTGATTTTTCAATCAGGAATTCTGTGCACCTTGAAATGGCGAGCACTTTAGCCTAAAAGACTGTTCTGCTGTTTTAAGTCAATTTTTAAACGGATATCCATATAAACTTTTATGAACATTATTACTCAATCAGTATATATAATTTGAATTAATTCTTAATGTGATCTTTTTCATCAAATTTGTAAACAAGTATTACAATACATTATTTTACTGAAGAATCAAAACAAACCAAGAAATTAAATAAAAAATTTTAAACCAATAAAAGAATTGTGCTCAAATTTTACACAGACAGATAATAATGAAATAATCTATAAAATTTATATATGTTTTTAGTATTATTTTTACATGTAATTCTTTAAACATTTTTTCCAATTCAAATTCAGCCGCGTAGCGCGGTGGTTATGTCGCGTTACAAGTCAAGCGAGCGTCTGCTTGAAAAGTCTACCATTTACTCCCTCATATTCTCCTTCACTTCGCTCGGTCCAGTTCAGTATTTACTTAGAATAGACTAAAAATACATATACATTTTTTTGTGATGTGATTGCGACGGATGATAAGGTCCGATGAAGATTTGAAGTATCGGGATACAGTGGTCAGTTTGACGCGATCGGTGCCAACGGGTTAGGAGAGCGAGCGCCACATTGCTCGGAGTTGGCCCGGTTGGCCGTGGTTGGCCGCCGCGTGCTTGGTACGTATCTATACACGCATGACGTTTCCGCGACGGTGAAACCGTGAAACGTCGCGGCCCGGTTTCTCGTGGTAGGGCCGCTCGTCCGTCCGCCGTCTATTTATCGTGCCGCGTTCGCCGCTCAGTGAACGTACACTTCTGTCGGCCAAGATGGTGACGATGAAGGGACGCAAGAGCTCGAGCAAGAACCCACCGATCCTCAGCCACGAGTTCGTCATACAGAATCATGCGGACATCGTCTCCTGCGTGGCCATGGTCTTCGTGATCGGCCTCATGGTGCAGGTCGGTGGCGGCTATCCCGGCGTTTGTTTTCCAGCTCCGTTTAGAATTTACAACTGTTTCGATTTACATTCTTTTGGCGAAACGGGAGAGTCGCTTTTGCGCGAATTCCCTACGAAGCTTCCGCTCTTGATTGTGCGTTCTGTGGAAATTTGGAAGACGCCTGAAAAGTAGGATAACCATATGTTACGAGTTGTTCCTGTCAAAATAAATTTGACTCGTCATACGCATACATTTTTATGAACATTTTATATATATAATTGTGATAAATATCTTATTAGTATAAACACATTATCTTCAATATTATATTTATAAATTTAATATGCTATTATAAGTGTCTTTTTTATATTGATTTTGGAAAAGAAGAAGAAAAGTATTGAAATGTTAAAATTTATTTTGTCAAAATGTTTAATTAATATATCGTTAGAGTGTACATTTGCTCGTATTCATAGTCAGACCTTATATTTAAGGTTTCCTTAAATTTATCTTTAGATGCTCAGTAGCCAATGAAATAATTCGTAGAACATCTGAAGATAAATTTAAGGAAGCCTTAAACGTAAGGCCTGACTATGAATATGGGCAATTGTGAATTTTTTTAGGCTATTTGTTTATGTAGTCTATTAAGTTAAAATTAAATTAAATTCAAAATTATTTTCTATATCAGGTTACGTCGCCATGGGCCTACATGTTTATTGCTATTCATCATAATGTGACCAATACTACCGAGGATCCTACAGCAGTGGTGAAGTATACTACAGGATGGAAAGATGCATGTGCAGTGTTCTTTTACTTCTTAATAACCATCATAATGCATGCTGTGCTTCAGGAATATATATTTGATGTGAGTATACCTTTCTGATGACAAAATATTGTCTAGCTATAAGAATATGTTCAAGCTGTTTAATTGATAAAATTTGTTCACAGAAAATTTCCAAACGGCTTCATCTCAGCAAAGTAAAGCTTTCTAAATTTAACGAGTCCAGCCAATTGATAATATTTTATGCATTGTCTGCATTATGGGCCATTGATATTATAATCAGGTGATGTAGATTTTAATAAATAATATTAAAGAGATATAAGAGAAAGTATCAATAGGATAACATTTTTTTTCTTTCAGAGAGAATATACTTTTGAACATATGGACGTTGTGGGAAGAATATCCAGCGCCGATGTCCGCTTCCCTAAAACTATTTTTCATTGCCCAGCTTTCTTATTGGTTGCATTGCTATCCCGAACTCTATTTTCAACGAATTAAAAAAGAAGACATTTTGCAACGTGTTATCCATGCAACTGTTGGATTAATCTTTACATTCGCAGCTTATTTCTTCAAGTAATATTTTAATATATAGACTTACTTTACTTTCTATTTTCGCAGAATTTGTGTTAAAATATATATATTTATTATTCTTTTCAGCTTCCAACATCTTGCCCTAATCTTATTAACTCTCCATTATGTGGGAGATGCTTTGCTACATGCAGCCAGATTGGTTCACTTTATTAGTCAAAAAGAAAAGAGAACTAAATGTAAGTCGCTTTTGTTGAATCACTACCGCAAGTCATTATTATACATAGTAATTAATATTATACATAGTAATTTATCGACGTTCGTTACAGTATCATTCCTGGTTGCCAATTCGACTTACGTGTTCGCACATATTGCGACTATCGCGCTCACGTGTGTAGTATTCCTGTATGGTTTGAGGAAACAGGAGTTTAAACTTGACTATGCTATTGGTAACTTTAATACTCCTATTGTACAATTCTCGGCAACGGTTATTGTCTCGCTCTTCCAAGGCTACCTTCTATATTTCTTCATTACGAAGCAAATCAAGCGTGCACGCGAGAACGCCGCGCCTGTTGTTGTGAAGACGAAGCCGAAGCAGAAGCCGAAGAAACGAGAAGGTGAAAATCCGTAAAGTTCTTCGTTTATTTTATCATATATTTTGCTATTATTGATTTCATTTTTATTATCTCCATCAGAATTTATTTCATTAAAATAAAATGCATACGTATTATATCTTTGCAGGCAAGAAATCAGCCTTGTCCGAAGACGACGATCTCCCTGAAGTTGATCAGGCGACGAAGAAGAATCTGAGAAATCGTCCTTCAGCCAAAGCAAAATAGACGCTCAATAAATTAGAGAAATCATCCCTACAAGGCTGATTGGATGTTCGATTTTATTCACCTGTATGTCACGAACATGTCAAAATGTTCGACCAAGGCTGCGGTCCACTTGCTTCTTTCAAATGCTTTAAACGCTACGCTTGGATTACCAATACATTACTGTTCCGAATGCTACAATCGTTATGTAATTTCCCGCCAAATATATCGAAATGCTCCAATTAACTGAATCCATCTTCCGAGGGCGTGTTTAAACTCATCTGAGTACTCCCCAAGTATCATGTAATCCTTGCTTAATATTCAGTGAACAATAAAGATAAAATGATACCTGAGTGGCACTCTGTTGGGAATTTGAATATAGCTCGAGATGAAACAATTGGAGTGAAAGTGGGAGCGAAAATGATGTAATAAGAATTACTGGAAACATCAAGTGATCCAAGATGGTCTAGCTGTATTGATGTTTGCATACGCATTGCTTTGTGTGCTTGCAAAGTATATGCTTTGTAAGGTTTGAAGCGCCAAATAGACCGCAGTCTAAGATGTACAAAAATATATTCTTCTTAATGTAAAAATACGAAGCTTCCGTAACGTTACCGATTAAGAATCGCGACAGCAGAATAATGTATCCGGTACTTGATTTTGTATCTGACAGAGATGAAAATCAGATTTAAAATATTTTATGAAAGAGATAGACACATAATTTTGGGCAGAGGTAGGCACACTACACCATCGGATGTGTTTTTAACTACAAATCAGGGGTTTTTTTTATCATTTTATCTCATTCATATGAATTGTATAGCTAAATTGCATTCATAGCATAATTGCATTCATATAGAATCACAAAATATTAATTGCGCACTTTGGTACGTTGTCCTTTTATGCGCGTTCCATACATTTTCTAGAGAAATTTATACACTTTATCGCTGTTTACTGTTATTTAAAATTCTTTATGAATTTTTTTCGTGCACTGATTTCTTTCGATGAATTTTTAAAGTCGATTAGAATAGGACCATTCAAATTTTCAAATCTTCAATCTTTCCTTCTCGACTGTCTGATTCAGATAGAGAAGAGATTGAAAAGAAAGTCGAGTTCCAGATCCAGACGATAAGCTTGGATCGGTCTTGCTTATTGTCTTCAATTGTCCTTGGAATAAAATGTTCGAATAGATCAGAGACAAACGCATTGAGCTAGCATTAAGTTACAAGACAAAAAGTATATAGATATAATGTGCACGAAATAATACTTTGGACCATAAATATGTTATAAGAATCATGCCACGTAAAAATATACATATCTTATGGAATTACAATATTGTTATATAATATAAGTTTTACTATTTTTTAACATGTATTTATATCGAAAGTGAATCTATATGAAAAGTGATTGTCGTTATTACATTGCTTTGCGAATAATTAAATTTCTTTAAAATCACTATTCCAAGGAAGATGAACCGTAGATAAAAGAAAATAATAAATAAAGTTTTTGAGAGATCATTTTTTATAGGTGTTTTCACACTGTTCTGCGATTTTATATATATATATATATATATACTGTCGAATTTCTAATCTTAATTCTATGCTTAGTCGTGCAATTAATGATCAATTTTTTATTTGCATTTATGATTTATTTTTCCTAGAGATGTAATGATTGTTTAAAAATTTATTGGCTATCTTGTTAAATAATAATTGTATTAATTGAATAAGATTCAGATTGTATTTCTTTTTATATGTAACTTGTGTTAGTCTTTAGTCTTTTGTTCGATGATTTATGCAGAAGTGGTCACCACTTCTCTGACACGAAACTGTGGACTAGAAAGAAGAATCCTGATTTTTTAACTGTATATTGTCGCATGCGTTGTAATAAAAAATATATAAATTAGATATCAAATTTCATGTGTACATACATCTATTTTTTTTTAAATAAGTAACTTTGTCGTTAATATTTTTATGCAATAATATAAAAAAAAAAATATATTGCACAAAAATTTTTTTTAAATTGAACATTTAACAATTTTAATAGATATTTCGGGTTTTTAAATTTCACAGTTTTTTTTTAAATCGTGTTTGATGGCAGTTTGATGGACAGGAAGGAAATTGGTCTATCGGCTCAAAATGATGATCGGCGGATGATACTCCCGACAGTCCCGACTGCGGGCGCTGGTGTAGTCGGTCAAGCGCAGTGCAAATGGTGCTGTGGTGCAAATCGGTGCAAATCCAGCGATTTATCTAGCTGTCGTTTTCGTTGGCCGTCGGAGCCAGTGGTCGCAGGAAGATGGAAAAATGTATTTGAAACGTACATCGAAGCTGCTGGATCTCACAGTGTCGCGTACTACTGCGGATGTGCATCTGCGCGATTTGACGTGCCCGATATGTCGCGGCATTCTGATCGAACCAGTGACGCTGCCGTGCACACATAACCTCTGCCTACGTTGCCTGCAGGGTACATTCGAGCACAACAGCCTGACCTGCCCGCTGTGCCGGGTCCGGGTGGGTTCCTGGCTGCGCACCGCCACCAAGTCCGAGACTTTGGTGAACCACGGCCTCTGGCAGCTTATCAGGTCCAAGTTCCCGAAGGAGGTCGAGAACAAGCATAATGGCGAGGAGGGGGATCTCGGCTTGGACGCTGCTGGTGAGTGATGCATATATATATATATATATATATATATACACACATACACACGCACATATCCGCGCGCTTATACGTACGCACACACTCGTGCGTGTCAGCAATAAACAAATGTAACATAACCTAAGCGATTGTGTTTACTTATTTTATTGAATGACATTTCGCATACATCTGATAGATGCTCCTAGGCTTATGTAATTTGATACTGTAGTCGTTTCTTCATTTCACAGCATCACCATTATCTTCAAGGATTTTCGATTTAACTTTTAAGTGGAGTGGCCACCCTAGGTATAGTTTTCTTAAAAACTTTGTTCTAGAAAAGGAAAGTAAAAAATATTATACTTAGCTGCCTAGAAGTCTTAAATTTCGTCATGTTTACATTCTTCTCTCTCATGAGGGAATGACTCTAATGTAAATTTAACTATAACATGATATACTAGTAAAAAAATATAATTATAAACTTAAAAAATTGTTTGGAATATTCTAAGCACCTTATTTATCAACTTATTTATTATCTTTAAATCATCTATCTACTTAAAGGTTAATACTAGCGTTGGTAGCTGATTATTTCTTAGCTATTAAACTTTCCAAGTAGCAAATGACATTAAATGATGTCTTAATATCATCTTGATCAATAAGAAGTTATTAAAATGTCATCTTACTTAAGTTATTGATATAAAATGATTGTAATTAAAGAATACAAGAAGTCTGTTCTTTTTAATTAAAGTTCTTGCACGATTCATCTTTCTTTCTTTTCTCTCCATGTTGAAGAGAAAAAGAGAAAAGATGAACCGTGCAAGTATTCAATATGCAAAATAGGAGTACTTTGTGTACTGGACATGATAATTTTGTCACAAGATCCTACAGAAAAGTATTCTTCTTTTGGGCAGATTATGCAGCAAATAGAATACTCAGTGCAGCTGGAGAGATACACCGGGAATACAAGGCTCAACTTCAAATGGCCCAGGAAGAGATGCGTCGTGAGAGGCATGCTGAACAAATGGCCAGTGAAGCATTGATTCAGAAGATTCAGGCAGAGGATCAGCTGCTATTGGCACAGCTGGCGCAGGATCAATTGCTAGCCAAGACTCTGGCAAAGCAGCAACAGAAGGAAGCTACAAAGTGTTATAATGAATGCTTGACCACATCAGTGCCGAGTTATGTTTTTAATGAGTCCAAGTTTAACTATACAGCTATACGTGTAAATAATACTGAAGCGCCACGAACCGAAACTGCATGCTTAGAAGGCAGGCACATGGGTCTTCCTGAGTCTGTCAAAGACAACTCAAAAACGAGACAAATGAATGCATTGTTATCCAAGATGGGAATGTATTCCAATGTATGCGGCTCTAAAGAGATAAACGTGTCCAGTACGCATAAAAATCCGCCTACATATTGTTGCCAGAAACAATTACCCGTTTATAACGCCGTTGCGAAGAAGCAAACGGTATCCAAGTTTACCCAACCTAGTACTTCGAATTATTCCATGGATCCCGGATGCTCCACGTCCAGGGCGTACGCGACGGAGACTAAGGAAGAGTTGCGAGTACCGAGCGATGTAGTGAACAACAAGAAGAAGAGTCTCGGGGTAGAAGTGTGCATGACGCTGGCTGATGACGACGAGAGGATAGGTAGCGCCGAAAGCTCTGGCAGTCACGACAGTATAAATCAAGAAATCCATCATTTCAAACCAATTAAGACAGCGCCAAGGACTAAATTGCAAATTTCTTCAGGTATGAATTTATCAGAAAGAAAGAGAGAAAGAGATAATATTTCATGACATAATTGTTTGAAAAAGAAATCTTCTTTTGTAACATCTACGTTGCGTGTATCTGTTCTCAGATGGAAAACAGATAGATCCGAAGTTGATTAGAGTGATCCCTATTTTAAAGAAAGTATCTAACGCAGAGCCGACAGCTCCATCGTTGACACATGTGAAACGTATTGGATGCTCTTGGAGCGCCTTCAGAGGTAAATTTTGGATGTTTGCAAATTTTCTATCTCGCTTCCGTTAAACTTCAAATATATATATCTGTTTCATTTTAAGTACAAGTACATATTAATAAAGAACAGACCTGTTATAGGTATGTTTATATACGATCAATTAAATTTTTAATTAAAACTGCGTAATTAAAAATATCTTTTTTTTATTTAATTATAAGATGTTGTTACAGGTAAAATAAGACAAGACGCAAAGGAGAAACACGCAGCGCACAATCTGAAGGATAATACATCGGGGACACCGATTGATCAGAAACCATCGACGTCATTCGTTCATTCCCAAACGATTTCGAATAAGTCGATGAAGCCTCATACAAATGATGCTATCCGCCGACTTGATTTTATACCCGAATCATCGTTTGATAGCAATAAAAATTATACGAAGAATGCAAATAAAATAATTAATGGTACTAAGGTGAGCAAGAAGTCAGATGATGAGGAATGGGACGCGAGAAAAACACGCAAGTCCTGGAGACCGATCGTGCAAAATGGTACAGTAGCGAAATCTAATCGGTATAAAAATTTGCGAAGCAGCAGGAAAGAAACCAGGCTTACTATGAACGTGATAGACGAAGAGGAGGACGATCTAACGAGCTCCAATCCGTCATTCAATAAAACAAGCCCGCAAAACGTCGAGCGGGATGGCGATGATAACGTAGCCGTCGAAAATATAGCCGAACGAATTAAAAGGAGAAAAGAAAACGCAGACATAAAAACATCGGAGCCAGAAATGGAATCTACTGCGTCTAAAAGAAGTAGAACAGCAACGAAGAAGAAAGCCTTACCTGAGAGAATAGACGAGGATCAAGCCACATTCTCAACGTCTCAAGATAGTACGGAGGCCGACGAAAATTTCACGGGAAGGACCAAGCGGCGAAAAATGAGCAAAAGAAAATCCGCGCGAAACTCAACGAGGACCTCATCGACGGTAGGTGAATCGGACGGTGCATGTAACAAGAGTAACAGCAAGTTCAATTATGACTCGCCGCCGGAGTCTTGCGACGAGATAGAATGCATTTCGGAAAGCGAACGTCCCATGGACAAGCTTTCAGACGAGGAACTGATCGAGGAGCAGCAGCGAATTGAGCGAATGTTATTGCAAGAGCGGGCGGATTTCGAGCTGGCGCGTCGCTTGCAGGCCGAGTATGACGAGATGGAGCAAATAGCCGGACGTACCCGACGCTCGAGAAGGGCTATCGAGAGTGAGAGAAGCGTCAACGTGAACGCGCGTGAGATCAACGCGGCGAGGACAGTCCGTAGGACGAGCAGTGTGCGCAAGACGGTGAAACGGAATCCGGTTGTCGGTACCGCGACTAAGGGAAAACGTGGCAGGCCAAAACGCATAAAAATCACGGTTGATGCACGCGAAGACGAGACTCGCACGCGATAATCATGTCGCGGCGCGTGAGAACCCTCCACAATTGGATGTTCCTATAAGCCATACGTTTGACGGAAAAAGATTCGAGAAAAGCCGCAACTTTTGTATAGTGTCTTGTGTATTTTTTAACAAATCATTTGCGTCGTATCGAATATGTACCTGGATACATTGCGAGAGTATGTACGGAAGCGGTTTGGATCTTCAGATTATTATAATGTCGTTTTCGGTGTTCACACAATGGAACGTCTACGTGCTGTTTTTGTTCCTAATACATCGATCGTGTGCGTTTTTAAATATAACGATGAGAAACGCGGCTTATGCTCATGTACAGCGTGCCCTGAAACGCTCGGCCTAAATTTTAACAAATCTCGACAGACAGATTTTTTTTTCAGCAAAAGAATTTTTTAAGATTAAGGTTGGAGTTTCTTCGGGACATCTCGTATCTATATTTTTATTAGTCTTTGGAAGAGTAAAATATCGCATTAATCAAAACGAAGAGTGACAATATTTGAGCGAGACGTTGTTACATTTTGGAGACTAAAAGGTATCGAGTGCACGTTCTGATGGCGAGAGATATGCCAGATGGAAACTGCAGTTTTGTACAGTGATTACACTTATTTTTTAAGAGAGCTTGTCCATTTAAATAGATTTAAGTGGCTACTCATTACAGCGATCCTACAATATTAAGTATACGCATTAATTAGCTTTTTTAAAAGTTCGATTATATGCTGACAGCTGGTCTTGGTTCCTTCGCTTTCAGCAGAGCGCTAAATCGTATAGTGATAATCATCGCGTGACATGTCGCTTGTTATGCGATTTCTAGCAGAAACTTTCAACAGAGAATTGCTTTATCGCGAAAATGTATGTTTATATTTCTATGTGCCGTTCCCGTGAAAATTAGTCAAAATCAAAGGAGGATTAATTGAACTTATGCTTTTTTGTACATAAAAGTAGAAAGAGACAAAAGTATCATTTAAAACTCAATTACAACTAACGTTCACGGGGATCATCTTAATATGTAAAGTTTGTTATGTCACATTTATACACCGATATCTATCGGTAAGGCAAATTATAATGAATAATCGTGTATATTGCATTGAAAGAAAGATTGGGCCGATATTTAAGATTATTTAAGAGCGTCTTAAGTCTTAAGATGTTATAAGCTAAGCATGAGGCATATTAACACCTTAAGATATTACTTAAGATGATCTTAAAATTAAAACAAACTAGGAATATACCGGTCTATACTCTTTGAGGAGGTTCTCGCGTTTGATGAAAAATAAGACAAGTCTATAATATACATGTAATGCAAAAGTTAATAATATCAATAATATCTAGAAAAAATTTCATTGATTTTTACCGTACCATTTTGAAGATATTTAATTCTAAATTTATAGAATTTTTACCTTCAACATTACAAGTTGAAGGTATAACCTTATTCTGTAATTATTTTCTTTTAAATTGAGACACTTGCGTATAAGACAGCAATTTAAAAATCGTTATAATCATAAAGTAAACACTTAAGTTTGTTCTCGTAAAGTTTCATTTAAACTGACCGTACAGTTTACAAGAAATTTATATTCTTCAATGAAAAAAGCTAGAATATATGTCAAATGGACGATGCGTATACATCAAATGAACATCTTACAACTTTTATTTTGTCATTTTGAAAATATTTAGTAACATATAAAATTAACAATAATTATGTATAATGGCACAAGATATTGTTAGTAACCTTTTTATTCCATTATTTTAATTATTTTACATATTGTGAATAAACTGTCTATTGACTAGGAAGTAGCGCGAGAACCTCCTTAAAACTTTTAGAGTGAATTTCATTCTAAAGAGTGAAATCTCACTTTTAAAGAATCTGAGCCACGCTTTTTTCAGCTCAATTTTCATTCTTTAGAGTGAGATTTTACTTTAAAGAATTTAGAAAGTATGTTTGATAAGATCCGCTTGATTATCGCAATCGTCTATCAGCCTCGACGGCCTTGATTATCATACTGCAATCGAATTAATTGTTATAAATTAAGTGTTATATTAAGAGAAGATTTATATACTTTGCGCGATCATGTGGCGGACTTAACTTGATAGGCGTAGAGGTTAATTATCAAGGATCATACTTTACGAGCTACATTTTCTTCGCAGTTTACAGCTCCATTTTCGGTAGGCTCGAATTCTCTCTCGCCTTTATAGACACTGATACACGTTCATATTTTACACGTATTTATTTAAAAAAATTTTTGATAGATATAAGTTCGCGTCCACTCCTTTCGCGCTCCTATCATTTGTGATACAGTATTTTATTCAAAATTCGTCCTTAGGTCTTTATTATATAGTAGTTATTGCTATAGTATTTTGTGTAAAAAGCTGTCGCAGATGAGCTCACATTTCGTAATAATTAATAACGAATAAATACTTCCAATGAATGAATCATAAAACTTGTTCTCTTTAACTGAACTTCTTGTCGATTCGTCTTTCCTCTTTTCTTTTCATATTGGAAAGAAAAATAAAGAAGATGAATGTGCAAGAAGTTTAGCTAGAAAGAACAGATCTATAATTTAATGCGTTCTGAGGGCTAGCGTAATTTTTTCTCGTCAATATTTATATTTAGGGAAAACATTGACTTTATTAAAAAAAAAAACTGCTGAAATAATCCGAAATATTCACTATATCATGTTGTAAGCGATGAAATCATCATTATTCTCTTCTCTCACGGTAAATTAAAACGAGAAATACTCTTGGTGCGACGCAGTTATAATCCCTTTCCTTAAGTGTCGCGATAGAAGAGAGAGATTCTTTGCCAAACGTTTTAAATCCAGAACGTTTTTTTTAATGTCTATATTATTAAGTAGAAGGTATTCATATAGAAGCACGGAAAGGATAAATGATAAAGGGGAGACATTCGGATACCTATGTCGGAAACGATTTTAATGAGCTGGGTATTTTTTCTGCTAGAGCATCTGGAAAAAATAAATGAGTCGATCTTTCGTTCCGAGCTATTCTTTGACAAGTCCGGAATTTTTCAAATTCAAAGAGACTTTCGAAAGTTTCCTCGTTAGTGAGGGATAAACGGGAGCCAACAAAAGATACGAAACGATTGTGGTGAAAAGAAGAATGTTTTTATTTATTCCTGCTACTAACCTTCCATACTTTTTTCTATTCATGATTTGACTTAAACGCAAGGTATATATTTGCCATTAAAATAATATTGCACGAAATGTTTGTTGTCCTCTGCATGCCGCAGGAATAGTCTTTCAACTGTATTGTTTTCTCTTTATGTGAATTTTAAATATGAAAATATATATACGGCACTCGTGTATCGTGAATACGTTTGATAAACAATTTGTGTAATAAGTAATCGCGAGGAGATAAAATAAAAAGATCGGTTGATATCGTTAGAGAATCGCACGACTACATTATATGAAATAATCTAACAACAATATATAGTGTAAAAAAAGCGCATGGAATTTATGAAATAAATCATAGAGAATGTATAGAAAAGATATTTAGTTATAGACCGACAGAATAATGTCAACTATTACGTATTGATAACAAATAAGTAGGGCATCGAGAAAAAGAAAGAGAGATTAAAGCGAGCGTAATCTATAATTCCGAATAAACGAACGGAAACACTCATTATGAATTTTTTAGGGAGAGTCATTTTTATATTATGTCATATGGTTTTGCGCAATAGAAGATGTAGCAAGAGTAACGGAAACCTTCGAGAAATAATGGGCCGTTTTTCTCTTGATACGTTTTATATGTGAAAACGAATAAATGACTGTAACTATTCTAAGAGTATCCATTTATTTGCAGTGAAAAAATCCTCTGCCTTTATACGAAAAGCATTTCAATAAGTAAACAAAATTTATTATAAAATAAAAACAGTTCTTTTTGCTAAATATTTTTCTGTCCTAAATAATTTAAAAAATTTGTTATCAGAAAAGTGCAAAAAGAACAGAGACATAAGTACAATAACATTTCCTTTTTTAACCATTTCACATTTTCATTTTCTCTTTTAATGTAATCTAATATTAATCCAATAATAACCTAACGATATAATCTTTGCGAAAATAAAGACGGTGATTTTGTGATATTATATCTACATTTTAATTTATAATTTAATTATAATTTGTCGTTTTTTGGATGCGGCGAAAAATCGTTATGCATTTCCCGATAATTTAATTTAGTCAAAGATTGCGGAGGTAAATATTCTTTCCCATGCAATGCGATAATAGCGAGTTATAATGATATTACGTCGTGACAATGAACAGAGATTCTTCATCTATTTGTGATACACAAGATAAGAGTGACGAGAGACTAAAAGTTATGCAAGGGATTTAATTAAGGAATGCGGCACTGTATATTTTCAGAGTGCAATATTTTATTTCTTTTAATAACGTTTCTCATTAGAATTTATAAGACTAGAAAATATATTATTTGACAAAAAATAATAGAGAATAAATTTGGTAGTATCAAAAATTGCAGGATGTTCTCAAAAATAAATTATATCTGTAGTATTTTGATACGAAAAATATTAAATTATGTGTAATATTAAATATATTAATAATATAATTAATGTAATTAATTAATAAACGTTATTTTTCAATTTATTTTTTCTAATACGAAATAGAATCCACGATTTTCAAAAACAAACAGATTCAATAATAGAAATTCTATAATTTAAGATCCTCATATATCATACTTCACAATTTACATTTTTAATATCTTTTGACTTTCGATAACTTGAAGTTTTATCATTTATTACTGTAATTTTAGGTAATTTTTTAAGAACGGGAGTTACATTCATTTAACTAATTTGTAAAATGTGACGTAGGACTATCTTACATTGAAAAACAGTCATATGATTTTCTTTCACTAATTCCTCAATTTTTGGGGACTTCGATGATCGACCATCATATACAATATTTATCTAAAAGATTAAATAAAAAATAAAGTGTGTGTACATATATATGAATGAGGAAAGCAATGCAGTTGTATGATTGATTCATAACAGCAAATGATAATTGTGATTTTCTTATTTGCGATTATAATCCTTCATAACTCGCGTGAGGTGTTCAGAATATCAGTCTTATAAATTCACTAAATATTATATATACACTGTTAAACATCAAAGGCGCAATGATAATCTAATTCCTTGAGTTAAATAACATTTTATTATCTTTAGCTTTTATGTATGTTAAAATGTAAAATCAATTATCCATTTCTGCAGTTAGTTTCAAAGTAAACAACGTCCATATTAACGTATGCACTTAGTAAATAATAAACTAAATTTGAGTCAAATTGAATACATTTTCTGAGTTAAACTGTTTAACTCCATTATTTTAGTTAAATTAACATGTAGAGTAAGAGCAGCGACGATCTATATAAAAATGATTAGAACTAACTCAAATTTCCTATAACATGACATTATGAATTTAACAGTGTATAAATGCTATTTATTACATTATTACATTTAGCGTAAATTATTTCACAATTGAAAAAAATGCATTAATTTTTATCTAAAATATACAATATTATCACAATCTTTATTTAATTATAAATTAAAGAGAACAAATATTAGAGTGTCAAAAACATTCTAAGCGAGTAATTATACTTTAAAAAAACCACACGAGTAATGTAAAGTGTAGCAAAAGAGATGAAGAGAAATTCACGAGGCAGCACTGCCAAAAGGAAACGGCAATGCAGGTAAATGCGGCTTGCGCGTAATTGCTGGCGAGCAACAATTGCGACAGTTTGCACTAACACTCATTGCGTCATCGTCGTGAAAATAGCGAGCCGATATTCTTGCGCGCTGCGAACATTTTCTCACCACCCTGTTTCCTCCGCGAATTTAGTCTCGTCCTGTTACTTTTGCTCCGAGATTATGCGAAATCGTGGTAAAATAACTGCACAATCCTATTGTTGTCCCCGCAACTCGATTATGGTCCTCTCGAATAGACCTGGTGATTACCGCATGAATTACATCGTGAGACTCGCCGTCTCATCAGACCCTTACAACGTGGCCACCTTTCATTTTGTAAACTTGTCCACTGAGGTGATTTCGTAATCGTTTATTAAAAAACAACACGACATTTCTCTCCCCTGTGTACGTAATGATCACTTTATTTAGAAAAAGCAACACGATTTTCTCGAGTCGCAAATTCGTATCAATACCGATCGTCACTTGCCGCACTTCTTTTTTTCGTGTAAATCAGTCTCTTATACAGGGTTTAACTGAAATAACGCCCACTAATCATACAGTGCTATTCCTAATAAAAAAACTAAGCCGAAAAGTTCTCTACCATTTTGCAATTTTCGCAATAAACGAGATATTAATTTCTAAATATTGCCAAATAAACGGATAAAATCGATGTATAAGACAATTTTGAGATATCTTTCTGTGTTCTTTGTGAAATATTTCTCTTAAAGCTGTCTTATACGTCGATTTTAGATATTTTGCTCATTGGGTAACTAAAAAAATATTGCGAAAATTGCAAAATGGTAGAGGACTTTTCGTCTCAGTTTTTTATTAGGAATAGCACTATATAATTAGTGGGCGTTATTTCAGTTACATCCTGTATAGTAATTAACGCGATTAAATTAAATCGTAATTAGTTCGGAGGAATGTGTAATATGTCGTCGTTGTATTACGCCTGCAATTAATTAAAAGGCATCTCTCGACTAAATTTTCGCATGCGAATCAAGCGATAAATTCTATCCATTGTCCCGGATCGATGGGCCCTTTCTGTGACAAATAGTTAAATATATATTTTATATATATATATATATATATACACGTTTCATTTAACACACGAAGCCTATTTTAATCGGGCAAACACAAGTTCGTTACGCAAGCCGAGTTTTGCAGATCAATAGTAACCTCGTCCCCCACAGTTCGGCGCTTTAAATCGATATCAAATGGTTACGCAAAATATAAGATGATATACATATAAACAGATCGTAAAAACAATTTGTCGACTAAATGCGTAACATTGGGAGGACTATTCTAAGCAGAACATGTCACGATAACGTCAAAATGACGTTAAAATGAATCACGATTGATCGAAAAGTGATTTTTAATAGTGGAGCCATTTGATGCCATCATAATTTTTTACTCTGCTTTGGATTCTATTCTACTTTACAAAAATAAAATTGTTAAACAATCCACATTAGCCGATTTCTAAAATATGTACATAAATTATCTTTTTTTTACACTAAAAATACTTAAATTTATTTAAAAAATTGTTGTTAGAAAAAGTTGTCTGAAAATAATTATTGAAAAATACCATGAGGACCAATTTTCTCGGATAATTTAGAACCGACTTCTCCTTAGAAACTTTTCAATTTAACGTTATGAACTCCTGCTAAAATTTTAAATAAGTCACAGAACTTTTATTAACGTTCGTTCGACCTGCAGTTCTTCAAATAACTTAGTTACTCCATAAAACTAAATATACACTAACGGATATGTACTAAAGAGATTTCTTACACAAAGAAACAATAAAAACAATAAAATAAAAAATTATATGAATAATTATAATGCTTTTTTTAAATCCTTAAGAGATTCATTAAAAAACTCAAAGGAAAGAATTTGTGAGTCTTTTTTAATACTAAGAAATTTAATACTGAGAGATAATTTATTTTAAATACTTATTTTAAATATTAAAATTACTATTGTTTAGTGTTTTTAATACTCAAAGTAAGTAATTAATCACTATCTTTCAGTATTCAATTAACCAGTACTGGATTTCTGTAAAGGTTTAAAATACTTTCCCGGAGATCCTATCCCCCCCCTCTCTCTCTTTCTCTTTTTTTCATTAAGTTCATTGCTATAGTCTCAATAATTTTAAATGCGGCCTATATGATTTTTTGGTAGAAAGTCTCATAATTAATTATACATGACACTTGCTTAGTTTTTTTGTATTTATTTTTATATTATTTTTCTTGAATATTTTTTGCTATTGTGTATATATATTTTTTTCTTTCCTTTATTTTTTTAATAATATTTTTTACTTTATATACGTCTTTGTGTTTATTGTAACGTTAAATATTCTAGCGCTTGAAAAGACAATTATTCCAGAGTACGAGCTAAATAAAGCTATCTATTTTTCTCTCTCTTATCTCGGTTTTTTTGGTCGGAGATTTTGAGTAGCTTGCGAGAACAGATCTCCAGGATCTCACAGAGAATCTCGGAGATCTCGCGAGGCATTAGAAACAAACGGCCCCGGGCAGATCGACGTAGAAAAGCGAGAGCGAGAGGTGCACTCGCGACGACGACGGCCACGGCGGCTGCAACGTGACCGCTGTATCACGTGATCCCCGCGGCCAATTGGATCTGCTGTGGATCGGCGGTCACGTTGCACTCGGCGTGGCTCGATCACCCCCGCACTCCTGCACGCTTCCCCCTCGTCCATCGGCTCCTTACGACTATCGCGTTCGCATATGCGATCGGTTGTTAGCGCGGTGCGGTGCGGTTTTTCGGTCGTGCGATTTTGCTCGTCCGCCTGCGCAATTGCGTGAAATAAAAAGAAGAAAAAGCCAGAAAGAGAAGAAGAAAGAGAAGAGATTTTGGCGAACGCGCGCGACGATCGAGCAAGTGCGAGCGAGCCTTTCGCGCGAATTGACGTTGCGCAGAATTTGCGATCCGCGAATAAACGGTGAAATTATCGTTATCGCGCGGTGTCTGATTGTTTCTGGAATTAGAAGGATTTGCGGTAAGCGTCGACGACTGTTCAGGTCGAGTGACGGGACGATTAGCGCGTTCGGCGCTAAGAACGATGCATCGAGCGCGTCATCGATCCAGCGAGTGCCGCGAGCGAATCGTTCAATCTGTAGGTCTGTTTTCTGTGGCTGAATTAGTGTATAGTTTTTTTAAAAATTTAAAAGTAAGATAGGTATATATATGTTTGACATTTGACGAAAAAGAGTTATAGTGGAGTTTAGTTAATTTTTTAACTGAAACAAAAAACAGACCCAGTAAGTTCGATAATTTAATTCGATAATTCAATCGCGCGTTATCAAATTGAGAATTAACAAGAATCTTCTGTGACAATCAGTGGCTCGCGAATGAATTTGCCGTATTCGCGACGAAAAGAAATCAAGTCTGTGAGGAAAAATGTGAGTGTCGTCGATATTACGATCGACATGCGTTGCGACTGACGAATGTCGTCGATTTGAGTGCCGTGATCGATCGATCTCGCTCGCCCAGCTGAATCTGGGAACTGTCGCATCGTTGGTCATTATAGGGCTTCGCGGCCTTGCTTCGCCGGCGGGAAACTCGTAATTGTGACTGCACGAAGATGAGCGCTCCGCGGCGAGCTTGTCTCGCGGGCCGCGAACTCTCCTCGTAGCGGCTCGGCGTGCCCGCGGATTTCTGCGGTGGATTGGCACAGCGGGTTGCAGGACCTGGGCTTTTTTTAACTCGGCGCGCTTTCACCGGCCGCTTCAAAGAAAGTAAGAGAGAAAGCGCAGCTGCGTTACATAGATTGGCGATTGGTTTAAATAGCGAATCGAAGCATTTCGATGATTCTCCTTAGGTATTATTATTGCAATTAATATGTATATATATTTTTTTTATACGATATAATAAAATTACTTATTGCTATAAAGTAATAGAGTAATTTTATCGTATTACTCAAACAAAAAATCGTAACAAATAAAGATCTAAGATACAAGTACCTGATATATTCTAGTATTTCATTAACTTATAATATAAATTGAAAAACACAAATAGACAAAAATTATTGTAAAATTAAACATATTGGCTGGAAACTTTTGGAAGTCACTATATATATATATATATATATATATACTCCAGGAAAAATTTGGAAACATTAAAAGTATTTCCATACTTTTAGTTTGGAATGTACATATATATTACTTATAAATATTTAATTATTTAATTATATATTAAATCATATAATTTATGTATCAAATTAATATACAACAATTAATATATAATCCGTTAATATATATGTATAATTTAAAGATTCCTCTATATATGTTTGGATCAATCATCGGACTCTGTGTTGAAAGAAAGTACAATATAAATTTAATTTTCAAATTAATATTAATTTGGAAATTAAATTAATAATCAATATTAATGTTTCCAAATTGGTTCAGTACTCTAAAAAAGTTAACCGTTTAGGTTCAAATAACTCTGCAAATCTTTCTGCTCATTTTTATCGCAATATACTGACAAAATTAATTTCACTCGCCGTGATTAAAAGAAATCCTATCTGAGATATATTGAATAACCAGTTAATCTTGTGAATGTGTTGACAAAATGATTGGTGAATAATGTATACAACGTAATCTATTAATCATCGCGTGAAGAATTAATAATCCTTGTTATTTAACATCGCAAAGAACGGCATTAAGAATTTATGGAAGAGAATTTATGGAAAATTCCTCATTATTAATTACGGAATTATCAGTTTCATTAATATTGTGAGAACTCGAGGGTTTCCATCATTAGGGTGCGTCGATTCGAAACGGGTCGTGTCCTGAAACAGATATTTAATCGTCCCTATGGGTTTAACTTATTGATTCATCTATTCGGATACTTTCGGGCGGGATAGATGTTTCCAACTTCAGTCGCTGCACTCGACCCTTATCAATTAACGCTTGTAAGGAGTTGCCGAAATGTTGTCGTTGCACTAGTAGTATTTTGTCACGATAAACGGAAAGCGGAACAGCAACGGACGCCGTGTTTAGTCACTGTCGTGTCGTTGCAAGTAAACACGCTGATCGATCAAAGTACCCAATTCATGGGATTAAGCGTGTAATTTTTCTTTAACGCGGAGACATAAAGAATGAAAATTTTTATGTACTATCTGAATTTTTGAAGTGAAATCTCACTCTAAAGAGTGAAAATTGAACCAATCTTGAAAATGAGTGGCTTAATTTTCAATCTTTTTAAAAATAAGATTTCACTCTCTCTTCAGAGTAAAAGATTCACTCTAAAAGTTTTAAAGAGTATGTATGTATGTACATATACATACATGTATACAAAAAAATTTTCATTTTTCACGTTTCCTTTCCAGGAAAAAAAGTAACACGATTGATCTCCAGCCCCAGAAGTATGGCCGAGCTTCTCTCAGAAGCGTTCATTATTCATTAATACACAGATAACTCATCGAACGTGATATCTATCGCTTTTTCACTGAAATACGCCATTTACATGTTCACGGTGTACGTGTGAAAATTGATCTCGAGATATAATACATCGGCATCGATGTGGAAAATGAAAATACTCTGCTGAAATCAACGGGGAAGCGGAACGAGTGGGGGAGAGTTAAAATAAATAGGGGTTTAAATGAAATGTAAAATTTGCTGAAATAACGACAAAAATTATTTATCGCTCGATGGTACGAGCTACAGGTGGTTAATTAAAATTTATATGCAATAAGTAAAATGTTACTTGTCTTGATGGTATATTAATCGTTATCAGAGTACTCTTCCATCGAGAGTATTCCGAAAGTAACAAAATAAGCTGTCTAGTGTGAATTGTGTTCGATTTACATTTAATTTCATATATATATGTTTGCATGTTGTGTACGACATTAATTATTATAATTATCGACAATGATCTTATGCAATCGATGCTTATTATTCTTCTAGAATTTGATCTCTCTAGAAATAAGACGAATAAATACGTATTGAATAAATCAATAGCACGTATGTGACTCCTGTTCTTGAAGGATTATTAGAGGAAGGAGAAAAAAGATTATTATCTTGATGGATTATAATCCAAGCAACACATATACTTACGTTCAAAATACAAAACGTACATTTTTAAAAATACTAAATTTTAATAAATATTGTTCTGAATAGTTCTAAGTAAATATTTACTAAATATAAACATGTATATTTATTTTATAAAATCATTAATTTGGTTTAATTATCATTTTTTAATTGAGTACATATTTATTTTGTGTAAGATAATATTTACTTAATACTATATATTTTCCTTGTTTAATAAACATTAGAAATCGTGTAATAAATATATAAACTAAAAAATAAACGTTTAACATTCGATACATTTCTTAAACTATTTAAAAAATATTTATAAGACGTTTGTAATGTTTATTAAACATTTTTTTACTAATTTAAAATATTATTTTTATACGAGACATTTCGATGATTTAATAAACGTGTATTTAACATTAATAACGTCTGTTTAGCGTTTTTATGCGGTGTTTAACGTTTTTAAAAGTTTTCGGTTAAATGCTTTTTAAATGTAAATTATCTGCATGAGAACTGATAAAATTTCGAGTTATTATAAGGTATTTACTAAAAATATAAATTGTCAAGTATAGGTATATCGGAATCTTAAATTACAGCTTCTATTATTATCAGAGAGAGATTTGTTTCTGGATTTGTTTATTTTTAAAAATCGTGATTTTTACTTTCTATCAGAAGACAATAATAAACTATAAATAAATATTATTAATTGTAATATATCGAATGGATTGGGACTTTATTCGAGTGATCATCGAACGTACAATTTATTGAAAGTACTGAAATATAACCAAAGCGATCTTTTGGAGCAAATAAAAAATAACTTCTACACATGTTAAATCCCTTAAGCGGATTTAAATATATATCTTTTATTTTGGCATTTAATATCTATATTTTTTTAGAGTACCAATATTTATACATAGATATAATAAAAGTAAAATCTAATTGATTTTTTAATAGAAATAGAAAAATTACATTGATTTTCATTACGTCATATTTTTTACAATCATAGAACAGGACGTTTTAAGAACATTTTAGGAATTTTTCAGAAATCTTTGGGGAAGAGCCAGAGTTCCATCAGTTATATCGAAATTCTCAGGACGAGCTGCTAACTATGCAGAAATAAAATTAATGCATTCGTGATAGCGGCTAACTGAGCTCGTATTTCGTCGATCGCTTCGAATTTCAAGAATCCTCTGCTGCGATCAGTAAAAACGCGAGTGCACGCGCCGTTCCAACGACATTATCACGAATGTCGAAAGAGAGCGAAAGCTATTTCGCTTATATCACAATTCAAGATGGGAAAAGAACGATTATATTAGTGTGACACGTGGCGACGTAATGTCATCCGGCTTTTCCTTGTTTATATAGATCATACGTTCAAATGCTGATTCTCGTATGCTATGCACGTGATTAATCCTTTGTCCACAATGTGAAATTTTCACTTTTCATTCCCAGTCTGAGCTCTCGAATTTTATTGCAGATTTTTACACCGTTAGAAATGTAACCACGAGCTTCCTTTACATGTAAATGAAGCTCGTGGTTATGAACAAAATCAAAAGTAATGAATGATTTAACTGAAAATTAAGTTACATTACTGAAAACAGTAGTTACTTACATATAATGAATGTGTACATTAAATTTCATGTACACAAATATACTGTTCAGTTATAAGTACATTAAATTTAATGTAATGTCATGAAATTAAGTTCAAATTGTGTAACTTAAAAGTATATTAAATTTCACATGAAATTTTTAACAGTGTATATTATTGAATTGTAAAAATCTAAAAAAAAATCTTACATACTTGTGAAAACTTCAACGAGTTTTTACTATCATAGAAGTCAGATTGTATTTTATTATACTTATTTTTTTACGGATTTAGACTGCCTGATTTGAAGTGCAAAAAAATTTGATTGTTTTTCTTTACATTTTCTCAAATAATTTAAGAGTATTTTCTGAAAATTTTGATATAATTTCTTGGAGTTACAATAATAGGCAATCCAATTTCGAGTAAGAACTTTTAACTACGGAATAAACAAGTTAGTGTGTGTTCATTAATTCAATCAAGGATAAAGACTTTTTATGGTCCAGAAATTGCAATCTAAAAATTTAGCTAGATAAAGAGTTAAAAATAATATTGTTGAATTATCAAGAAATATTATGCAGGATGCTCAAGTTAATTGTTTAAATATCAAAATTTTTTACATCATTGCTTGAGTTTTCCACATAATTATTATTTTTAATCCAACGAAATTATTTTTAGCCCTGTATCTATAGCTAAATTTTTAAATATTTCAGCAAAATTACTCATTTTGTGTGATACTTTAATGATGTCTTCGCTGAAGTTGAGCCACTTATTCTTGAAGCACGTCTTTGCGCGATAATCGCCAAGAATTTTCAGGGAAGAAGCGGATCTCTCCCTCATTCCATTCGACGTCTTTTTACGTAAATACTTGAGAATGATGCTCTTTTTAAAAAATGCGGCGCATTAAAGTTTGTCTTAGCGAAACGTATACAAATATTTAAGGTACAATGTCCTTTTCGCCGTAAATCCCTCGAGAGATTAAAGTTAATTCAGCGATGTGAAACAAGTTCGCCTCCTTGCTGTTCCGATCGTTTGTGTGTGTCGGAATTAAAGTTTCTTTTCTGTTGTGGTCTCTTTCATAAGAAGAGTTTCCATAGGAAAACTGCTGCAATGCAACCGTGAACTGACGTCTGCGAACACGATCAAGACGCTGGATGATCGTGTTCGCCGAGTTACGACGTATCGTATCGGCTTTAGTGCATCGTATGTGCTCTCTCTTTCTCTCTGAGAAGTTTCTTCGGTAGAAGTTATCGGACGGCGAGATGTAATTCCATCAAAAAACGATAAATTTCGATTATATTGCCGCCTTCATGCGGCAGCGGTGAAACGCGGCGCGACGATGATGTAATATTGGAACTTTAAATGGAGTTAAGACGAACGAATCGGCGATGTCTTCATGACGTCGATATAATAGCACAATTTTCTGTAATCATTTAACGTACCGATGGAAAAATCACCAGCAATGGAGTTCACAAGATGTAGTTCACGCGGATGAATTACCGAGCGAGTTTTGATTAGTTCTTAAGTAAGAGATTGGACACCATACATAAACGATCCGTCATATTCTTCTTTGATTTGTTTAAGATAGAATGAGATAGATTATGTATAAAATAAAATGAGATATTCACGCATATTCTATCTTAAGCAGGTCCTGAAAAATATGACGGATCAAACATATGGTATTCCATCCAGTCCAGCTGTTTCTAAGAATCTCTAATTTCGATCATTCTGCAACACTTGCAATTAGTATAGATGTATGGAATTACATTATATATTTTTTTAAAAGGAGGTTAATTCATAATCATGTCCTTAATTTGGGACAAAATTTGGGACGCGATTTAAGTAAATTTGTCTATAAGAATTCATAATCAAAATATCGATAGTGCTTTTAAAGACTCCATATTGCCGTGTTAAAATAAACTTAGTATTCATTCTTTTTGTACCAATTATGTCATTTTGATCCTTAAAATTAATTATCTTTTAGCTAAATCAATTAAATGGGTCAACATAAATTAAATGGGTCTCATAAATCCAGCGTCAGTAATTGATGTTATAGATTTTGGCGTCGGAGGGTGAAGACTAACTTTCACCCTCCGTAAATGCTAAAAAAATACCTCTTGAAGACACTATCGATTAACGCATTAATGCACCCCCTGCTTCAGCAACCCTCTTGCTTACCTCATATATGTCCGCGTTGTGGGAGGGACGAATGAATTCCGCAATAAATTACTGTAAAACGCACGTTGATCTTCCTCACCCCCTCTCGGTTCATGAATAACGTGTCGATAGATAGCTCTCGTCTGAGGGCTAATCTCGCGGCGGTTTCGCTGCCGTTGCTGGAAAACGACACACATGGAACTCGCAACGATGCAACGGTGCAGCGCAGCAGCGTAACCAACATTCAGGTCACTCTCGTCCCTCCTTCCCCCGCGACTCCTCTTTTCCGCCCCTGTCTATGGAGGAACTTCAAAGGATCGATCTTGATTAACTTGCTCTGCTGACGGCGTTCATCCCAGAATAATAAATTGCTCTATCTGCACCTCTACATGCTGTTATTAATAATAATTGACAATTAATTATGAAAGAAGAATACGTTGATTATCAGAGTTATTAAAAAAAATTAAAAAGAATTATTTTCTTAAAGATGATGAGACGCATGAATATATATATAAATTGTATGTAGATTTTAATTTTTGATCTCTCTACTGAAAGTGATGTCTCTATTCTTCGGAGATGAAGGAGATCTTTAGCTACGCCATTGATGCAACGGATATAAACGTGCCTGTGGGATAAAATTAATGCACCCATGTCGCTTTAGCCCTTTCGGTTGCCAGGGAAATCAACCGTATATCGCGAAGACGATCCACCACCCCGTCGAGATTTCGTTAATTATCCTCAATGTCGCGAGACATGGGCTCTTGCAAAGCTGCGAGCTGTGATTTTTCTGGAGACCAAGTAACGGAAGTAATTGAATTTATCTTGAAAAAGAATGGTCCTCATTTGTGTAATAATGAAGCGGTTTTATCTAAGAAAAGGAGACAGAGAGAAGGAGTTTATATAAAAGTTACAGCTGTATATAACATTTTATATCTCTGTAGGGAACAAATGAATAGCCTGAATCGCCAAGGAAATTGCGCATCTAATCTTCCAAATTGACAACGATTTTGTAAATTTATTCTTATCCCCAGTTCTTTTCTGTTCTTGGACATGAGAATTTTTCGAAAGGCATCTTTTACATATTCAAAGTAAATCTCGATCCCGAAGTAATGTACACGTGCTCGCACAATGGATACGCTAATTTCACCTTACAATGGAGTTCACGACATCGCATGAATCATTGTGTGGCGACAAAACCATAGTTCCGCGATAGCGTCGAGTGTTTCACAGCAAAATTCTACACCGCGAATAGAATGTCAAGGAACTGTCTTGGAGGATGAGTTATCTGAGATCGAAATTGTAGAACAGAGATTTTGGTTACAATTGTCTAGCTATACCATATGGATCAGTTAATTCTTAGAACTAGAAAAAGATGAAAAGTTGGTTGAACCGAGATTAAAATAGTAGCAGTGAACATAAAGCGTTTAATAACTATCATCTAAGCTTCATTATTATTACTAAACCTTCTTTTCTGTCTGGAAGATCTTCAAAGGGTTAATATTCATCCCCGCGAATAACGAAACGCCAAATCGGAATGGGCCAATCGAGGCGTGGTCTCTTCGAGGTAGCATCCTGCAGAATAGATCCGGCGACATCCGGAGAAAATCGAATTTTCCGCACGACGTGACCCTCCGAGAATCGAAGCGGAAATTCTCCCTTGTAGTCTCAAGGTCATAGCCTGCGAAGACCGACTTATTCTCCGGCTTAGTGATGAACCGAAAAGCAAGATAGATGGATCCTTAACACGCATTTTGAATGGCAAGATACATTTGTAAGAGCTCCCATGGGGATCGATCTGCACCACTTTTATCGCGGAGGCTTTCTTTGAAATATTGATAGCACGAAGATATTCAAGATGTGCGCTTTTCGACATTGATCCGTCACAATCAAGAGAGGGAGGCGTATTTTGAATTTTTGGATTTCACGTTCCCTAGAAATGCGGGGTATTTTCTAAAAGTTACCCATTTGAAGCTAATCAGGGAAGGAAGAGGCTCACGTCTTTTGCATATTAAATTTTAGGAATATAATTATCCGACAAAACTTTATTATATCATTGTTAATTTTAAGGGGCGTTTTCAATTCGAAGTTATTAAAATTTTTTTAATTTCAAGAAACTACTCTAAGGTGATGAAGAAACACACGAAATGTTTAATTCGAATAAATTCGTGAAGAAACTTGTTCGCAGGCAATTTCTAAAACACTCTGCACTATTAATCCTTTATTATTTGTGTGAGTGTTCAAGGCATCTCAGTCTATAAATTTGCTAAATATGTGAACATTACTTGTATATTATTATATTTAGCGTAAATTGTTTCACGATTAAAAAAAATTTTTACATTTATCTAAAAGCTGTATAAAATATTACGAATCTATTATTTAATTGCAAATCATTAAAGAAAACAATGAAAATTGAGATCTAATGTTAGAGTGTCAAAAACACTCCATACGTAAATAATTACATTAAAGAAATCCATACGAATAATTTGAATAGAATTTATAACACTATAATAAATTTATTGCAACAATATGTAATATTATAATAACCATAATAGATTTATTGTTGTTTGCACTCAAGTAGCAGTACAGTAATGGAATCACTTTCGCGCGCTGAATCAACTAATTAAGGTCTATATTCTTCGAAGGGTGAAAAGATGACGGGAAGTAGTAACAACGAGATGGGCCAGGCAGTGACCTCGGGAGTTCGAGGCGATGGCGGGAAGCATACAGTTCACTGGTTCCGTAAGGGACTCCGACTGCACGACAATCCCTCACTGAAGGAGGGTCTCGCGGGGGCGTCCACTTTCCGGTGTGTCTTTGTACTGGACCCCTGGTTCGCCGGAAGTACCAACGTTGGCATCAATAAATGGAGGTGAGCGCCCGTGATGGCCCGCAAGATCGCGGAAACGAGATCGATGATGGTCTACTCTAAAAGCGGAATAACGTAATGAAACGCGTTGGCGCGTCAAACGTTCTTGCGTAAATATTATTGTCAGCAAAATGAATAAAAATCTTTTTTTTTTTATAAATCTTTATTTTATTTTATTATTTTATTTTTTTCTCTTATTTCTTTCTTGCTTTTCTAAATCTTGTTGCGAATGAATATATTGACGGAAAAATAAAATAAATAAAAATCTTTCTTTATATATCTTTGTTTTATTTTATTTTTACATTATTTTATTTTATTTCTCCTATTTCTTGTTTTTCTAAAATGTTGTCAATAAACGACAGAAAAATAATTACATATTCTTGGATAATTATCGAGAATGATCGCGTTAATAATAATATCAAGCTTTCCTTATTGCATCTTAGGTTTGAATGATATCGCGATGATAGTAGAGAGTTACGATTATTTAATTCGTTGATAATAGTGAGTCAATACTGTTTCACAAATGGCGCCGTAGATCTTCGTTGCATTGCATAATCTCGATGCATTACTGCAACGGACATTCGAGGCGCAACTTCGTCATCGATCATTTGTCATGTTGATTAAGCGTTATGTAACCGTTTCCTAAGCGATCGCTTAGATGTTGTCGATAATCCTACTGAATCACGGTTGACAAGGAAGATATTAGTGGCGACATTGACCAAAAATCAATGGCAAACGGCGACTGTAGCAGCACGTGCTTGTTATTACATTGCTTTTAATGATAAATTATTTCTTAATTATTACAAAAGCTAAATGCTTAAATCTAACTGCAATGGAGATATTTAATAAACTATTGTTTTTCATATTTTGTAATTCTATGCACGACAATTTTTTTATTATGTTATTATTGTGAAGAAGCCAATTAAAATATAATGCTATAATTTTCGGTTTGTTACTACAAATCGTAATCATATTATAATACATGTTTTTAAAGCAATAATTTTTATGTGAGTAAAGGCGCTTCAGAAATTTCAGTTTTTTCCATATTTTTAAAAATGGATTTACATAATTTTTTATACGCATAATATCTATAGTTAAAAGTTATTTTGCATTTAAAAGTAATAAAGCAGAGTTATCATAAAATTAATTTACGAAAAATTAGTTTACAAGGCATTTTTATTTTATTCTGGGTTTTAACTCAAAATATAAAATATGTATAAACTATTCGTTTCTATACCTTAACATTTCTCTGTACTGAATAACGAGATAAATTATTTAAAGCAACAAAAACGCGTTGTCGCTTTAAAAAAAAGAACAAGTAATTGCAATTGTAAAAAAAATTATACTTTACGAGATACTTCATATCTTAAATCAACAAAATCAAATGTAAAATGTCTTGTAAATTATTGATTTTTTAATAATTCTAGCTTAATACGTTTACATACAGAATAACTAAAAAAATCATATATTATGTAAAAAAATCATATAATTCTGTTTAAAAAAATGGAGGTATCCTTAAACTTTTTGAAGCGCCTCCACCCACAGAAAAATTATTACTAGCATATTATGATTTTCTTTTGATATTTAAAATTACTTTTATAATTAAATATTTTCATGGTTTTAAAAATAATTAAAATATTTTAGGTGATCAAAGTTATTGTTCTATCCTGTATATATTTATTTTTAAATTATTTAAAAACATTATTAAGTAATTTTGTGCGACATCTGATCGGTTTGCTTTACGTGCAATCCGACAGGTTCCTACTGCAATGTTTAGAGGACTTAGACTGTTCCCTGAGGAAACTAAATTCTCGGCTATTTGTGATCCGGGGACAGCCGGCCGATGCACTCCCCAAGCTCTTCAAAGAATGGGGCACGACAAATCTTACTTTCGAAGAGGATCCGGAACCATTCGGTCGTGTGCGAGATCATAATATTTCGGCCCTTTGTAAGGAGCTCGGTATCTCGGTGGTTCAGAGAGTCTCGCACACTCTCTATAGACTAGACGAGTGAGTTCGAAAAAATTGTTCAATACTTACGCATTGATTGAAATTTTTTACATTTATTTAAAACAAAATGTCAATAATCTAATTTAACAATATAAACTTAACGCTATTAAAGCCAAAATTATTTTTTTGTTATTTTTTTATCATTTTTTGTTTATTATTTTTATCAAACTTATAACGGTACTTTTTTGAGGCATTTTTTCTAAGTGATTTTTATTATAAAATAAATGATTAATAAATTAATCAATCTTCTTTTCCTTTAGTTTTAAATAATAAAAATAGTTATACATTATTTGTCAAGAGTTTTAATCATAATAAATGCAAATTTATTTTAATTTAGAATTAGCCTTTAGTTTCCATCGATCTAACTGTAATTGAAATCTAACTTTGTAATTATAATCCTAAAATTATTTTTAACGAGACATTTACGGGAAAGGAAAGAAGAAATATATATCTTCTGAAAGTTACATGTTAGTTAATTACACTGCAAGTACACATTCGAGTGTTTAGAATAGAATCCTAGCGGGACCCGCTAGGATTAAATATTACGTCGCAACTTTTGCCATTGTTCTCAAGCCATTTCGTGACTCCACCGTTCTCGTCGTCACGCGTTTCAGGATTATAGAGAGAAACGGTGGGAAACCACCGTTGACCTATCATCAATTTCAAAACGTCGTCGCCGGCATGGACCCACCGGAACCGCCGGTACCGACGGTGACTGCCGCCTGCATTGGCAGCGCCTACACACCCCTAAAGGACGACCATGACGATCATTACGGAGTACCCACCCTCGAAGAACTTGGTAAGAAAAAATCGATTTTTCCGAACAAAAAGGATTTAATGTTTTAAAGTTAAGTCTTTATTATCTCGTTGAACAAAAAATCATCAAAGTAATTATTCATTATTAATTGAGAATTCTTATAATATAAATACATACAGACAAAACGGTTTTACTGAAATATCTAAAAGTTTAGTTAAATACAGATCTAAAAATAATTTTCTTGAATCACCAAAATAATTATGGAGAATGTTTAAGTATTGATGATAATGCTGCAAAAAGTTTTGACATCTTATATAAGGTCGCCAGCAGTTACAACAAAACTAACACTTAGTCAATGCTATGACTGTAAACTGATGACCAAGCTTCTGTCAACCAGTACTGGACCATCATTGGGAAATGACTGTCAAATTACGGCTAAAGTTCTTTCAGTCAGTATTGGGCCATCACTGGCAAATGAATAGCTAAAATGACTGGGTCAGTACCATCTGCCAGTAATGGGCCCAAGTTTGATCCAGTACTTAGTCAGTACGGTGCCAATAGTTTATCAGTATCTGAACTATGGCCATAATCACTAAATGGCCCAGCACTGGCCTTATATGGGATTCTAACGACCAAGTTATACAATAATGCGTGAATTATTGTATATACAATACATATATTCAATATTCATAATAATTAATATTAATACAAAAAATTAAAAATTCATGCATTATTAACCGCTTTGTTTCGTTACAGACTTTCTTTCTATCTTTTATTTTTTTTCATGAACTTTGACTTAAAAAAAAGTCGATCCGGCTTAATTAAAGACCAATTATTAAAATTGAGGGCAGAGGTCAAACATTCAATATAAACTAGAACGCCCGACCGGGGTGTTGTTTCATGATATATAAGGTAATAACGAGATATGCATTTCGAATAGAATATCCCAAGCTGGACAACTGCAGATTAATAGTAAGCGCGAGTCTGTCGCGTTTGCCATGGAGAATTCATTCGCGGCAGATTAGTCGATGCAATATTAATGCGCCATCCGTAAGGGAGCAATCGGGTATTATTTCGTATAACGTAATTCATCCGTCGATAGCGCGTTGCAATCCGTAGCTATTCAAACTGTATATTATGTACTCCGCATCACTCATCGTGACTACGAAGAGATCCGATCGATTATTAATTACCTTGGCTGAGTGTTCTTATTATTAAGTGTCAGGCGTCTTAAAATCTCCTCGGCACGGCGCAATAGCCTTTACCTCATTGATTTATAGCTCAGTAAATATAATATATAGTTTGTATTGTCCCTCACTTTCAAATGTCGCACATTATTCCGTTGTTTCTTCTCATTGTTATCAAATGTCAGAGCGATTCCCGAAGGCTTTCAGCTTTTTTCTCCTGCAATTCTCTGTAATGTCGAAAGAATGAAGAAGCAAGACCTTCGCCGAATAACATTGTACTGTACGGAATGTCTACGGCTCTTTAATTTTAGTGACAGATTCCTTGGTCGATATTCCGAGTTCAGTTTTTTTTTAATAAAACTGTCGAGGCGCCATTCAAGCGCTAAACAATCGAAAACACGGTACTTTTTGTACAATAAGCGTGGGATAGCAATATATTTTATTGCGCGCAATCAAATTTTTATTTTCGGAATTTTAATACATTAAGCTCGAAAATTATTCATTGAGATACTTAATATTATAAAATAAATTGCAATCAGTAATATTCGAAATTTTACCAAATATAAAGAGCTATTAAATAAAATTTTCTTTAATGGAATATTAAAGCTGGGATTTTGCGGCGCCGAATTAACTCTAGAATGCTATCGACATTAAGTGATACAATATTGTTATTGATACGTTACGTTCGAGTAAATAATTTAAAATTAATAACATAAGATTTTCATACATTTTGTTCTTTTAATTAGAAAATACCTACTTATAATATAGATTTTTATATAAACACAAATAATTTAATTAATTTAATTCCTTCAGATTCTCTGTGTACATCAAATTTTCCGTTGAAATTATTTAGTTCCACTGACATCATTTGAAACCACACTAAAAAAAAAGATTGGCTG